TGTTAAGGAGTGTTGCTGTACGGCACAGATAGAGTACACTGTCGGTGTAGATCATGATGGGGGACGTCAGTAGGTATATCCTCATAGGACGTACCCCATCGGGATTTAGCTGTCTGCGTGTCCCCTAGGTTGAGGGCAGATCGCCCTCAACCTCAGACCCTTGCTGATCGTCTCTCAGCAATAACAAGCAACCTTCCCATCTCAACGTGGTCGTGGACAAGCGTGTCAACGACAGAACCTACCTTCATATATCTCTAGGAGCAAGCTACCGCCCACGGCTTATACTCCTTTAAAATAGGTGAATGCCTGTTCCAAATCAGAACTTGGCAATAAGAACATATGCTCGGTTGGAAGCAATCAACAGTCTAAGCGGCGAGCCTCAAGCTAAATAAGCGGTTCTTAATGTGGCGTGTTCTGTATGTAGATGTCCCCGAAAATAGATTACATATAAATAAGGAGAAATAAATACACGCACAGAAAGACTATAATACACTAGTCTGCTGTAGATGTCGTATGAATAACCAATAGGCGACCGCCGAACCACGAAATTGTGGGCAGAGTAACATGAGGGTGAACCGGTTTGGATACATGCGAGACAGCGTCGTGAGAAGTTGAGAGGGGTCACGATGATGAGATATGTCTAGACCTATGTAGAACAACTTTCGCTTGGCCTCATCAACACCAAAGCCAAGCGATCGGAAAGCCTAGCAACACCTTGCTTTGGTTGATTTTCGCGTCAAACTCACGGAGATAACAATGTACGCAGCCTGGTAGACCGTAGAGACGCAACAATCTACTGATTTTAGGCGTAATCTCTCTCGGAAAAGCAGGACAACATCAAATCAAACATTTTAGACTACATTGTGCCCACTCTATTTCGAAAGCAAAATATCGGGATTTCAATTAGTGAGCCGTGCTTTCTTCCGTAGTAATTGCGTGCTTTTGCTCCAGAAACGCAATCAGATTTCCAATTTTTCGAGGGAGGTGGGAATCCACCGAAAAACGACGCCGTTTCAAAGTTCTGTACATATTTTGGTACACAAGGAGAACCTGGAGACAGGAGTTGATCATCTGTTGGCGTACCGTTTTTTTTTTCAGGGGCAAAAACGCAAAAAGTTCCCGGGACTGATTGTGCAAGGAGAGCAAGCAACAAGAATTTGAGCAGCAAAGCTCATGCAGCGACAAGGTTGTTTCTCATTATCGTATGCCTACTTCGTGTGTACGGAAAAAGGACATGCAACAAAACAGACGACGGAACGCACGCCTGATTCAACCCGAAAGGTACACATCATTTGTTGGGTTTTGGTATTGTGCTCCCCTTACAGCTTCACTTGTCTCTGGGCCGTCTTCTACCCGAGTGGTCATTAAGGCGTGTGCCGCGCGCGCGCGTGTCGACAGACAGGCTCTTGGAGGAAACCTATCATAGATTCACACAGAATATGAGCGGTATGTGCGGACCGGGTTCGCCAGTCTTCGCTGTACACAGAGAAGTGACACACGCCTTGCTATGAAGTATTGCATTCCCGCGACTCACACACCGATGTCTCCAAAGCAAACGTTAGGTCTCCATTCGCCTGAACGGATCAGACCTACAATTCAACTGCCCCCTTCATCGCATTGCATGAGCGCTGGGTAACCGTAATTACTAGGACGTGTTTAAAAAAAACTCTACTACTGTTCCCCACCGGCACCTAATTTTATTTTTCCCGCTGAGGGCAAAGTCGGTTACGCAACAACAACACAACGTGGTGCTGTTGTGGTCCCTGAAACGCTCCACACACAAATGGGCGCGTTCAACAACCGGTCGCTCTCGGGAGACGTTTGGCGCCGAACAGCCCGGCACCCACGAGGGTATAACACCATCCGCGGAGCCCCCTTTTTTTCTTGTGCCCCGATGACTGCCGACGTTTCTCACCAATTCTGGAAACCAAACCGCACACTTCAACGCGTGGAAAACACACAAACAAGGACGTGCCCCCAACAGACAAGTCTACCCCTCCCTAATTCCCTCTCCGCCACACGAAAAAAATAGACTTGCCCCTCCCCCCCGCCCCCCAATAAAAAACCTAACTGTTGGCCCGCATCTTGGAGAGATTCACCATGGGCTCGTCGTAGCTATTCGCCGACCCGGGAGACCCTTCTACCCACTTCTCATTCGCCCGGATCTGCGAGATGCTCTCCTTCTCATCCTCCGGGGCGCTTCCGATGGGGCGCGGCTGGTCGGTCCACCTCTCGTTGGCGCGGATCTGGGAGATGCTCTCCCTTCCCCCCTCTTCGTCTTCGTCGTCGTCGTCGTCCCCCGTGCCGTGCTCGGCTTCGTACAATCGTCGGGCCTCGAGGATGCGGGAAGCGACCACCAGGTCCTCAGGGGTGGTGAGTTTAAGGTTGGTGTAGTCTCCCTCGGTAAGCTTCACCTGCTCTCTCGCCGCACACGGAACGGAGACAAATTCAAATCATGGGCCGTTATTTTTTGTCTGTTGACACACAGGCAACAACGAGATGCACGGCATGCACGAGCTTTCGCGGTACGGATGGCTTCCGTTTCCTGCCGCGGACATTCCACCAGTCGACACGCAGTAAACAGCACGTACGGTTCGCAGGAGCTTTCGTGGCACGAATGGGTTCCGTTTTCGGCGGCGGGAATTTCGCCACCCATACACCCGAAAAATGGACGAGACAAACTATATTAACCATATGATACATGCGGCTCCCTGAGCAGAAGGGAAACTCTTGGAAGCAACGGCTTCGAGCATTGCACTGCAAGCGCTTGAATGCGGAACAATTAGCGGTGGCTTGGCCACAACTGACACAAGCGATACTGCTCGGTTGAAAACGCAACACCGTGACACTCGTCCAACACGGAAAACGCCACAAAGGCGGCGGGCGCTCTTTACAGCCACACCAGCATTCACATGCAATGATCCCCAACAAGCTCGGGCTAAACACCAACAAATAAAATCGACCCTCCCACCTATTTTCCTCGCCAACAGCTGTAAGTAGTCGGAGTTGTCACACGCGGTGCAAAATTCAATCGAGGGCACTTGTCAACCACGTCCACCTACCGGCAATCCGAGCTGCTCCACGATGGATACGTCATCGGTCACCTCCCACCTGCGGTGACACACACATCGTGTTGGATAGTGGGTCCTAATCGTCAGAAGCTGCGAAGAATGGTTGACTCAAGACCTTGATTGCTAACGAGTGACGAGGGCACGCTGGCCCACCAAGGGGGGTCACCCTTCTACAAACACAAATGAAACACGAAACCCCTGAGTAAACCGTAACATACGCCACAACACGCCGCGGTAGCGACGAAGCAGTGTCAAGCAAGGTGGCCGTGGGTACGAAAGGGGCATAATCGCCAAGGCTGGCGATGTGGTCCCCGTGCCCACGCATCGCACTTCGCCGGCGTATCCGGAAAAGTAATTACGGGAGACCCGCACAGAATACGAAAAGGCAACACATACTTGTGCATTTGTCCTCACGACCTCGGCATGTTCACACACGGAATGCCAGCGACTGCAAGCTACAGACACGAGGGGATAGCGCAGGTGTTTCTCGCGCGGGGAAGGACAAGCGACCCTCCCCCCCCCCGCTTACGAGTGGTCCATGGTCTAACCGCTAAGGCATGCAAAACATGAGTACGCCTCCCCTGCTACCAGGCTGCTTCTACGAGACACTGCTGTTGGAGGGACAGCGCAGAGCGTGTACGCGCAGAGCGAAACGCACAACATGGAGTGGGCAACATATGGGCGTATTGCGAAAATCAGCACGTAGTACTCTGTCCCTCGGTCACACCACCAACGACAAGTGAGTGCACACAACCGTGAGAGGGCCATTGCGTTGCCAGAACGCGCGCAAGACTTACCGTTCGCTCATGACCTTGTCGAACCCCTGTCGAAGGAGGTCGGGTTTCACCACCTTGCGGACGCGTCCCGTCCCGAAACGATAGGAAGCGGCAACCAGCAAGAGGGCGGGGACGAAACAAGGAATGGGGAGTCAGGCCTACATACTGCGTACCTGCTACAGATGGACAGCGCATGACCTGAACTCGTACTTGCAGCGGTGTGGGTCCACCCCGAGCTTGCCATACGGCTTGGGCCCACTCCGGCAACAACAGGCGGTACTGCTGCAGACTACATCACACGGAAGGGGGGGTCGCTGCCAAAAGCTGAATAAAGAAACTAAACCCAAACACAAGATAAAGCAGACACGAAAAATAAAACCGATGCAAGCGACAATAGCGCTAACCTGGGGGGTTTGGATGTCCCACAGGCGGGATCGATCGATGGTCCGCTGCACGAACTGCCCGTCGGCGCTCTCCTGCTCAAATAGACGCCCAAGCACGCGAGGGGGGAGGGGGGGCGTTGGTGAGGACCAGTAGCGGAGCAACGCAAAGGGGCTTGAAAGAAAAATCATTGCACGGTCGTCGATCCCAAGCCACCCGCTCCTCCCGAATGTCAAGGCACCCCAACAGAAATGTCGAGGCATCCCAACAGCGGTGGGCTTGAAGAAATGGATCCCTGAGCGCACGAAAAATACTTTCAAGTTTTTGAGTTTGCCGCGCTCTACCGGTACGTCGTCCCAACTACCAACTCAAGCGTGTCCTGCTGTACAGCAGCGTTGCCTGTTCCGGAGGTGTCAAACTGCTTCACCTTGACGGTAGCCTTCATTGGCACTCCTAGCACCGCTGCGCCATACTCATCGGCATCTGCGATCACCTGTCGTGCATAGAAAAAGAAACAAAGAGGACCATGTTAAAGGAGGCCAACCGCAGCGGAAACAACGATATGCCTGCGATGTACATATTGCGCAAGGGTAATGAATGGCGTAAACACAACCGGCTAAATATATGCGACGGCATGAACAAAACGCGTGTTGAAAAACAGTCGACCATTACATCCATAACAACAACAGCAAGATCAGTTAGTGCTGGGCGGTGACTGTATCCCATCGACTAAGTAACAGCTTGCCTTTTTTACCGCTGCCTTGGTTACCAAAGGTCGCGCCGCATCGTGGATGCACACGAGGGAAGCATCTTCCTCGACTTTCTGGAGAGCGTTGTACACAGAGTGCTGCCGTTCCCTACGATGAGAGAGGGGGAAGGAGTGGAAGGGGCGAGTGAAATAAGCAACTAAAAATCCGGGCAAGAGAAGCGGTGGACGAGCGTTACAGTCATCGATCCAGTCACTCGAGAAGGTATATTTTCAGTGGAAAGCTGTGCGAAATCGCCACGCCATAGAAGCCCGAGGTGGTAGGGATAAGCGAAGAATATTAATCTTTAGTGGAGTTCAACACGACCGTAACAACACGACCACTACAGGCTCTGATTATTCTCGTCTTGCGGTTTCATGGCGCGACACACAAGCACCAACAAACGCGTGTCTGCCGAAGGGGAGAGAGAGAGCACGCCATGTTGTACCTACAACAGCACATCCTGCTACCCCCCTAAAACAGAAGCAAAGCACGGACATACCTGCTTGCTCGTCTAGAGTGGCGGCCGCTCGCGTCGAAGTTTTGTTTTGGTTCCTTTGCTTTAATTTTGAGTTTTGGGGACGCAACATACATGGTGTTAATTCCACGGGTGATGGCACTCCCGCCGCAAACACCTTCTCTGGGCAGAAAAACACGGGCTAGGCGATATTCGAACCCACTTCGGTAGCCGTAGGGCAAGTCGCGCAAGCATTACACCAGATAATCCTTACTTCCACATGGTATTTTAACTGTTCTATATGATGAGTCACAAATACCGAAAGACCGGCCGGTTCCCGTCTGCATTTTTTATTTCTGGTCTGTCGAACGCGCACCACCGTAGTGGGCTCGGGCTGTGGCACACGACATATGAATGAACTGCCGCGTGTAACCTACACTGCAGGGCTCGCCGAAACACACGCTGTTGGCCTATATTCTCCGACTAGTGGGCACTTATTTCTTCCTCCATATTGCAGAGTCAAGAGGAACGGGGAGGCATGACGAAGCCTGACAAAGGCGTGGGTATACACATATCCCTTGCAACAGCACTGTCTCTCACAGTCCCGGGTCTGCGAAGACTAGCCTCCCTTCTCGCTTCTGAAGATCCCGCAGCATCGGGCGGTACTGCTCATCCAGGACGAGGATAAGCCTGCCGACCACACAGCCACAGAAACGGGGCGTGGGGATATTCGTCACCTTGAAGGTCGCCCGCCGTAACTGTCATCAAACACGTCGTGGTCTGTACCTCACTTAGAATCGATGTACCCTTGCTTGGGAGTCATCGGAACCCTCACCCTCACCATTTCACGATCATACATCAGTTTTGGACCACACTTTTGGGATCCCCCACCATTTACATATTCATCATAATTCCGTTGTGTACGTGATTTTCGGTTCTACGTGTATAGCTCGTGACCACGGACATGTCGCCTCTCCGCCTTGGCAAAGAACGAAAGAAGAGGTTCTACTGCACAAAGTTTAAGTAGAACACTGTCTTGCTCCTTCGAAGAACAAAATGGCATCCACGGGGCTGGGGATAGACGAACATCATTTAGGATACACTCAACTGGTCCCGCACTCAAGTGGCTGATGTCCTAGGTCCGGAACGCTCCGGCACAACACGGGTCGCATAAACGTAGCAAACTACAATCTCTTGACGGCAAGAAGGCACACTCGTTGCCTTGAACAAGGAATCTACAGGGATAATGGGGAACGGACGGCGACGGTGGGTCCCTGAACCTCTCCTTGAGCATCTCCACTAGCACATACTCCATCTATGCAAGCGCTTGGAGCTGCAAGATGAGTGTTGAAAACAGTCTTGGCCAGCGACAAAAATCAAAGAAACTCACTGCGACACTCCCTTGAGCCTGAGGAAGAGCTTTAGGCTGTGCTCCAACACGGTCTCCCCTTGCAGCTCCAGGAATTGCTTCGGCCTTTTTCAACGACAAGGACAATCACAATCGGGTTGGGTGGTGGGGGAATGGGCGACTAAGCTTTCCTCTCGTGGAGAGAGGATGCGAGAACGGCGGTGTGGTTGCAGCGTCAAGCATCATCACATGGTGCCCAAACACCCATAATCGAAAACGACACGGGTGCTCAACGCAAGGGTGGATGTGGCTACAACCCGCAAGAAGTGCGGGCGGACGCACGGGAATATATGAGATCGATTGTTACAAGATGGATTGCACCACAACGAGGGTTTGCAAATGGCTACTAAGGAAGCTCGACGAGATGTTTCCGACACCACCCGTTTCGGCGTTGTCTGCTTCTGGAGGGTTGAGGAGCAATCGAGCATCTTAAAAAATCGATCGAGGGGCTGTTTTCTGCGCGTTCAGACACATCGTCGGCTACGAGATGAAAATTCGCCTGTCTCCCTTCAGACTACAGTGAAATATTACCAAGCCACGACGACAAATACAACAGCCTGTGACACAACGCAACCCCTCCGACGTCAGGCGTTGAGACGAATTCGCCTGCAGCCGATGCAAGCCAAACAATGTGTACACCTGGCCTGTGCGAAGTCAAGGGGAGTCTTGTCGCTACCGACATATGGCATGCACCTCGTGACGGTTGTGCGTGCCGCTAACTTGTGCCCCCCGGCCATCAATAACCCCACTCCGTCATCCCAAACTCCTGGCTTCCGCGTACTTACATGTCTGCCTCCATCCGCTTGCCCACGCCTCCGGCAAGGACAACAGCTGCCACGTTTTCCACCTGCGCGCGCGGGGGGAGTAGTGAGGCAGGTGACGGAACCAATTGTTTCTTGGGCGATGTTCTGGTGTGGGCCAAGCACGGCAGGGTGGCAGCGTACCAAAAACGATGCTGCCTTTCAGGGTGGTAGTCGAAGCAAGCTTGGACGTTTCAGGCACGCCACAACACTCGTAACAGAGAAGGAGAGCCAAGGCCCTGCGCATATCAATCCCACCGGTCTTCTGGGTAAGTGGTGCTCGACGGAGGCTTTCAATAGGCTGGTTTCTCTTGCCGACTCACCGTGGGCCCAGCAGCCATCGACAGTCGAGGCGCCGATGCAGGAGCGGCGTCCCGCACGCCTCTGGTCCTCGCCTGCAACCGAAGGGAGAAACAGCATCGAACGGAAGAAAGAGGTGGGTCGGCAAGGGTCGACGCACAACCTGACAGGTGGTGCTAAGTAGCCGGCTTTGGTGGGTGACTACGGGTGCTATCCAACCGACCAAGGAACATCATGACGACATGAGCATGTGCCGACACGCTCGCAGTCCAGACACAACAGTGCCGAAGGCGTGGGGGCGAGTTGGCGAATCGTATCGACGGCGGTAGATCGTGCGCGTCGAATAAGTCTTGTCCTTCCAACACGGCGTCGACAAGCTGCGTTGCGATTGGCAACCAGCCGAGCACCACTGCGTCTTGCGCGCGTGTGGAATAGATGGCTAGGTGAGGATGACGAATGCCCGCTGCACACCCTCTTCGACGCGCGGTGGTCATGCTCCCGGAGAGCTCCGGAGGAGCAACCAGCTGATACCCACCGCGGTTACCGTGGGACAAAGTTGCGAATGGGATCGTAGCAATGCAACGATCACGTGGGGCAAACACATGCCGCGGAAAGGGGTAATCCAACTGCTGTTTCTCGAGATTCACGAGCAGATTTGCTGCGGTTGGTGCGGGAGGGGGCGGACTTGATTGTGTAGGCTCTTGGTACATGTTGTTGGCACTAGGTGGCAATGGACAGCCGTACCATGGGTCTTGCACAGGATAGAATTGCAGCAGCAGGCTCGGGATTTAAAATTTTCCGACATTTTGCCCTCGCGGAGAGGAATGTGGGGGACTGGTAAATATTGATATTGGGGGGCAAACCAGTGGCCTACACCGCCCTGCCCTGCCTCCCCCTCGCTGGGCCTTTCACCGGCCCGAAGGAAGGGGGCAGTGCTACCATGCGGGGAGGGCGCAAGACACTAGGGATGTGACAGCTGATGGAGCGATAACGTTTACGTTTTGTTGAGCGCATGACGACCCCCTCGCCAGAAAGATAGCATAACAAACAGATAGACACAGAGAGAGCGAAATACAAAACATTCTGGATCCGACGAAGCAACCACTGCAAGTACTGCTTCACATCTATCCCCCCAGTAGTCGCTACTATCTTACCACACAGCTACAACAGCGTATGCGGCGCACATGTACGTTCGAGACGGAGAGCTGAACCAAAAAAAGGCGACGTGCAACATGACACACAAGGCCGACAGGCTACGATTACGCCAGACCTGGAGAGAGCTGCCAACATTTGGCTTGACAAACGCCGAGGCGGGCCCGACAAGGGCAAAGAAGGCCGCGATCGATGTCAGTGAGGCTACCATGATGGATGACACGCGCGAGGGTCATGTGTGTTGGTCGCAGGTTGCTGGTTGGGGGTAGGGGGCACCATGAAGGAGACTTTCAACAATGCCATACCGCCCCTGTACCGAAGGAATCGGCGGAGCGTTTCCGATTCCAGACCAGGGCCCGGGGCCCGGCCAGCCCTGTGCCAGAATGTTGTGCTGTCTACATTGCTGACTAGCTGATAGGCAGTGCCGTCGGCGAGACCATCTCCACCCTTACTGGAATATCGGTGTCCTCGTCGCCGAAGTATCGACAACAGCAGCCGTGCGCGCCGGATTCAGAGTATAGTTAGCGAGCGGATCTCATCACCGGGATCAAGCGACGCACGCTGTCTTCTTCTCGTGTCTGTCTCCTCTTCCCCGACACAACACGCATACGTAAGGATCAACAGCACATCGATGATGTCCACTACGAAGATGCGGCCCCTTGTGGGCATGCTCAGCGGTGGGCGTGCAAGCGTGCTGACAGCAAGAGCAGGAGCTGGGCTAAAGCCTGGTGGCGCTCCTTCAACGATGTTGCACTTGGCGGCAGCAATAAGGGGGATCAAGGTTCTCGGTAACTCGAGAACCGAAAAGCATCTCCTCGATGAGTTCAGGAGCGTGAAGGGACCCCAGTCAGGGGAGGTGAGATTTGTCAAGGTTCGACCGAGTTGGATCAATATTTCGATCGCTCGTGCAAAATTTCGGTGCTTCCTACCAAAGTACATGCTGGCTTCCGCGGTACTTCCAAGTTAAAAAAAAAATAACGAACGAACGGCAGCAAAGCGTAATGCATGTACCATAATTTGCAGAATTTGTACGCTACACCCGGACTTGGATTACGTCGGGGATCGGCCATGCCAAATGTTTTCCTTGCGAACGTTGTGCAGTGTACACCATCTCAATGTTCTCAGAACCGGAACAACCCGCCCTTGCACATGTTTACGGAAACGCCCCACTGTTGCGTGACATCTGTAGACCATTGTATGTATCGTAGATCACCGCATACAGCAAACAGCAGGGTACACGCCGGAAGTGCTGAACCCTTCTCGCGATAGAAATTTCTCAGGCAGGAACCGCAGGAGGGGGTCCAACCCCCCCCTCCTATGTGACCCCGGTTGGATCGTCTAGCTGGTAGAAGTGGAGGATAGGGGCCAGAGGGGCA